CGTATAAACTCGTTCTTATCTTCTATTCTTCAATGGCTTCTAGATAAATAGTTATTTGGAGCATGAGTTAGAAGACTTTATTTTGCTTGAGTTTAGAAACTTCAATCATCAATCAGAAGCTTGATCACATCAATATCTGACTTGAGATTCTTCAGAGTTTTTATGACCTTCAACATTTAATCTTCGGAAGCTTGAGAAATCTTCAGAAGTGAATTGATCAAAGTCACACGTCAGAAGCAAGAGCCAATAGAATGTTGCAGTAGCATCATACAGTTTTATTAGAAGCTTCTCATCCGTGAGTTTGAGCAAAAGCAGCTTAGATCAATATATTCAAAAACTTGTAACGTTTCATGTTCAAGAGTCATAATCAAAGTTGTTTGCTAAAGATACACAATAGCAAACCGTTAGGGTACCAAAATTATTCTCACATAAACACTAACTTATTATCATAAAAACTTAGAGATACAGATGCAAAATCAAACCTTGTTCTAACACCACCAACATGGGAGTCGAGTAGGAGAAAGTCCCCGCCGACTCTGAGAAGATAGACATTCAATAAACTCCCCTAGTAAGAGGGAAGTGGTTAAGACCACGTCTAGGAAGTAAAAACCCTAGGGGCAAAAATTCATATGAATACATTGCCCTCTCAAGGGAATAAACAGATTCTCAAGTCATACACATTCTCCATTACTCAAAGAGAATTACACTCCCAGTAGCTATAACACACCATCAACATAACCGCCCACCTGTAACCCAACAATACTAGCCACCGACATGGCCTATCACCTCATGTGAGTTGGTCCTTTAAATAGCCTAAGAAACCACTGTATATGGCTTCTCTCTGCAGTGAGCAAGAATTCACTACCAAATTGCAATGCACCTATTAAGGCCTCTGAGTATCCCTGCCTTTGTAGAGGGAACATGTACACCTTGTACTTTTTTACCAATATAATGGCGTCCACCTAGGGCCTCGGTAAAACTAACTTGGGCCACACCTTCTCTCGTCAGCATCATCATTCTTTTTGTTTCCCTTCATTGCTACACCTAGCCATTTTTAACCATGATTGTTAGGAGAGCTCCACCCCCACGCTAGAAGGCACCAACGGTAGCGGTGATGTCGATGCCATGGAAAAGATGCATGCTGCCATGGAAGAACTACAATTCCATAATCAAATGTTGGAAGATGACGTCCATAACATCTAACAACACCACCATGAGGTTAATTCCCCAGCCAAGGTGGAACTATTAGAACCCTAATCACTCTTAGAAGAAATATAGGGGATGCTTATTCCTGAGGGTTTTAAACCTCCCTCTCTGGCCAAGTTTGACGGATGCAGCGACCCCTACAAGCACATAGCCTCCATCAACGCGTAGATGACCATCATATGGGCGCCAAATTGTTTGAAATGAAAGTTGTTATCAGGAACCTTCAGAGATGCTACCCTCGGATGGTACACGGGTCTTCCTCGTGCTTATATTAATAACTACCAAGAGTTTATAAGGAAACTGGTACACCAATTCGCCGTTATTTTACATAGGAAGATGTCCACTACTAGCCTATTTAACATTCATCAAGGTCTGTCAAAATCGTTGAAGGACTACCTTGCTCGCTTCTATGAAGCCACCACCAAGGTCGTCCATCTGAACCAAGAAATGTTTGTGGGGGCATTCTAAAATGGACTCAAGGCAGGACACTTCAATGAATCCCTTGCTTAAAGGTCGACACTCACACTAGCTTAAATAATTGTTAGGGCGGAATGCTACGTTAAAGGCAAATAAAGCAATACGGAAAAGAAGGATCATGGTTTCAAAGAGTGAGTCCTCGACTCAGAGAGCTCTCATCCTTCTAGTAAAAATAGTTACACCTCGCCCATGAAGAATAAGTTAAGGTTCAAAAGAGTGGGGAAGGCGACAAAGAGTTTCACGCCTTTGAATACCCATCGAGAATATATATGGCTCGTGGTACTCCACCTACACAACATTCCGTCACCACCTGCCCCCAAGGTCGAGGTAATGAGATCTAATCATGGACGGTGGTGTATGTTTCATAGGGTCAAAGGACATCATACCGATGACTGCTACCATCTAAAAAAGGAAATAGATAAGCTAATACAAGAGGGACAACTCAAGAAATATGTAAAGGGAGATTCTTCCGGGGAAGGTACAAGAAGCCTTAGACCAAACAAAGTTAAGGAAGTATCATAGGGTGAGGGCAATAAAGTTGCACATCATACCTTTAACACCACAACAAGAGGATTCAACAGGGGCAGTGAGACCAGCTCCGCCCGCAAAAGATATGTCCATCAAGTTCTGAGTGTATAAAACCTCCATAAGGTCAAGAGTATGAAATTGTCGGAAGTCGCGAATATCTTCTTAGAAGATGTGTTTGACGTCCACCCTCACAACGACAATCTCATGGTCATCCCCGTCAAATGCAAAGAATGGGATATCAAAATAGTTTTATTTGACTAGGGAAACTCCGCTGACATACTTCATTAGGCCCCCTTCGAGAGACTACGCCTCGATCCTGAATACTTGAAGCCCTTCAAGGGATCGTTTGTCGTATTTTTAGAGGAACAAGTGCAAGTAAAAAGGTATCTCACCCTACAGATCATGTTCGAATAGCAAGACCATGCCAAAGAAATAAAGGTTAAGTATCCAGTCATTGACGCCCCCTCTTTGTATAATATGATTATTGTGCGAACAACCTTTAACCGACTACGAGCCGCTTTATCAACCTTGTACTTGTGCATGAAATACCTGCTCCCTAATGGGTGAATGGGAGTTGTTAGAGGGGACAAGGAGATCTCCAGAAAATGTTACACATAAAGCCTCAAGTTAAAGAGAACACATTTTTTGAGCGTATGAGGAAAGAATTCCAGCTATGGGATAATACCGCCCGGGGAGGCGGGCGAAAGCATGAAATCAAGGGGAAATGCCTCATTTCCTCTGGAAGCATTTATGTGGTCATTTTGTTTCTGTTATTCATTTATGTAGTTTTCATATCTTTTGTTATTTGTTTACTTAGTTAACATTTTTTCATAGGTGAGTATTGAAACTCTGTCGATTATAAGAACAAGTTTCTTGGTGAGGTGCACTCTTTTTCCTCTTCGCTCTCATGGGAGCGAGGGTTTTTAATGAGGCATATCATCCTTATTTATCAATATATATATTCATTATGCCATTTCTCTGCAGAAAAACCAGGTTCATAAGAAAGCCTCTCATTAAGAGCCAATTACACACACTGGATCCCTCATGGTGGGATTAGTTTCGCCCGAAGAGGAAATCGTGATGGATCCCCAAGATGGGATCCTTGCTTCCCGAAGAGGAAATCACATTGGATCCCCAAAACAGGATCCTTGCCGCCCGAAGATGCAATCATGTTGGATCTCCCATGGTGGGATCCTTGCCTCCCTAAGAGGCAATCACGTTGGATCCCTAAGACATGATCCTTACTGTCTGGAGAGGCAATCACGTTGGATTCCTCATGGTGGGATCCTTGCCACACGAAGAGAAAACATTAGATCCCCATGACAAGATCCTTGCCACCTGAAGAGGCAATCATGATAAATCCCTTATGGGGGATTTTTGCCGCCCGAAGAGGCAATCATACTAGATCCCCACGGCGAGATCCTTTTTGCCTGAAGAGGCAATCATACTGGATCCCTCATGGTGGGACCTTTGTTGCCCGAAGAGGCAATCACGCTGGATTTCAAAGGCGGGATCCTTGCCGCTCGAAAAGGAAATCACAATGGATCTCCCTTGGTGGGATCCTTGTCGCTCAAAGAGGTAATCACGATGGATACCCCTTAGTGGGATCCTTGATTCCCGAAGAGGCAATCATGTTGAATCCCCAAGACAAAATCTTTGTCGCCCGAAGAAGAAATCACGATGAATCCCCCATGGTGGAATCCTTGCCACCCAAAGAGACAATCATGTTAGATCTCCAACATGGGATCCTCACCGTCCATATAGGTAATTACATATGCCAAATTCTCTAGGGTGAGACCTTAGCCACCAACAAATGTGATTAAAAATGACGTATCACCCTTAAAAATAGAATCTCGCCACCTTAAAAGTGGCTATAGTAACAAACGTCTTAAGATTAACCAATAAAAAAGTCAACATAAAGACACTGCTGTTCAAAATAAATTTTAAAATTCCTAAATATGATGGAATATAGAATATGGTGCATTCAAAAATATATTTTTAAAAATCTACAAGCATTTTTATTTTTTATAAAGGTGCGCAGTGAGGAAATAAAATGTAATACCCCTTAGTTTCTATATTAATTAAGTTGGTAGTATTTTCAAATTTAAATAGTTTTTGTATTTGTGTTGGCCTATTATGATTTTGGATTTTCAAAATTGTCAATTAAAACTTAATGGTCGCGTGGAAAACATAAACTAAAGAGAATAGTTTTTATGACATCAATTATTTTTTATTCAATTGTTTTTACATTTTTAACAAATAAATACAACACTTTTTTAAAATAAAATATATTTTCTAGTGAATTTTTGAATGTTATAACTCATACATCTTTTTTACTATTTGAAATGAAAGATAGTTTGAGATTTATGAGGCACAAAAGTACCCTTTTAAGTTACTTAAAAAAGAAATTTTTATCCAACAACATTAACACCTATGATATTGCAAGAGATAGAATGTTTGGCATTTAAGAATCACACAAAAATAAAGTAAATACAGTAGAAATGAGAATGTTGCCATAAGATTTGAATAATTGATGGTTGAATTCCAAATTGGAAAATATCTGTAACCTGTTTTGCCCACCAAATTGGACAAACACAATACAGATGGCTCAATTGGGAAGCTTCTGATAGTAAGAATAAATAAAGGCTGAAAGAATTTAATATGCAGAAGAATTTGACTAATAGAAGTCATATGAAGTTTAAAATGAATAGCATCATTGAATAGTTAAGCTGAACCAATACTAACATCTTGTATCAGATTGAGTGTGTAACAAGTTTTCAAGTTCAGATATGGCAGGACACTTCCTACTTTTAATGTTTCGACTCTCTTTGATTTTACCTTTCATTGTTCATGCTCAGAACAACCAATCAGGTTTGAAATCGAGATATGACTCGCATGTAATTTGTGAGATACTGATAATCATGTTGTGTTCTTAGAACTTTGTTTTACCGTTTTGCAGGATTCGTTAGTATTGACTGTGGACTAGTGGATGAACCAAGCTACACAGATGAAACTACTTCCATCTATTACACCTGGGACGTTAATTTCACAGATACTGGTGTAAGCCGCAGCATATCGTCTAAACACAAGGCTTCCCTTGAAAGACAGTTCTGGAATGTTAGAAGCTTCCCAGAAGGAACCAGGAATTGCTACACTCTTTTTGTTTCACAAGGAAGTAGCAAGAAATACTTAGTCAGGGCCAGTTTTGTGTATGGTAATTATGACGGAAAAGACTCTCTTCCTGAATTCGATGTTTACCTTGGAGCCAAACGGTGGGAATCCGTGGTGTTTGAGGATTCATCGAGTTTAATAACTAAGGAAATAATTTACGCTGCTTCCTCGGATTATGTTCGTGTTTGTTTGTTCAATACTGGAAAGGGTACACCTTTTATTTCGGTCTTAGAGGTAAGAGTTCTTAACAGTGATGCTTATCTTGTTAACTCTTTGGAGCTTTTGGCAAGGTTTGATGTAGGCTCACAGGGTGGTCCAAAAATCAGGTGAGTCATGTCAAAATGATGCATGATTTTTTCTATACTACAAATATTAATGTAATGCTCGTTTATGCGTAACACGCTATTTCCTTTTCCAAAGATATCCAGATGATATTTATGACAGAATATGGACACCATATAACTCAATTGACTGGAAAAAGATAGATACTTCGCTCACCGTAGTCCAAGAAGCACCTTCTTTCAATTTCTTACCACTACCCCCCTCCGCTGTCATGCGAACAACATCAATTCCAGAAAACGACACTGACAATATAAAGTTTTACTTCCTTCCCAAGTCTAATGCCTCCAGATATTATGTGTATTTGTACTTTGCTGAAATCCAAAAACTCGAGCCAAATCAAATTAGAGAGTTCAACATTTTTGTAAATGGGAAGCTTTTAAATAATGATCCAGTCAACCCTTTGTACCTGCAGAGTCGGTATTACATATCATATATAAGCGAAAATAAGTTGGAACTTTGGTTTAATAAGACTAGTAGATCAACTCTTCCACCACTCTTTAATGCGATCGAGATATACATGACAAAGGACTTGTTACAATCAGAAACATATCAAACAGACGGTATGTAATGTAGTTAGATACACTGATTTTGTTCTCAAATTTGCACATCATTATTTACAAGCATTATTCTTATAATAGTTGATGCAATCATAAATGTGAAGTCAATTTATGGGATCAAGAGAAACTGGCAGGGAGATCCTTGTACTCCTATGTTATATTTGTGGGAAGGTCTAAACTGCAGTTATGTTGGATCTGATTCACCAAAGATCATATACTTGTAAGTTATGAGGCATGAAATGCAATGCATAACTTTAGATTAGTAGTTTTAACTTCACCTTTATAGTCTAGTTTTCGATGATATTAACGAACTTCTAAATCATGTTTTTAGGAACTTAACTTCTAGCGGCTTATTTGGAACTATAGCTCCTAGCATATCCAATCTAAAGTCAATAGAATATTTGTAAGTACGCCAAGCTATATAAATTATCACAAAAATGAAGTCAGTTCCTAAAGTTGAGTAAAAACAGTTTCTTCAAATTTTAGGGACTTGTCAAATAACAGCTTGACTGGGGCTGTGCCTGATTTCCTATCTCAGCTACGCTTCTTGAGAGTTTTGTAAGTAAACTTTCTTCACTTCGGTAAATTCTCTAGAGTAGTGAAGCTTTAATGAGTCTAGGTTCACCTAAATGAACTTGATTTTTCAATTAACTATAATGCTTCAGTTGTTTAAAATATCATGGTAAGAATGCGTGTATAAATCGTAATTTTAGTTATTGATTTATTGAAGAAACCTGGAAGGAAATAAGCTATCAGGAGCCATTCCAATAGAACTTCTTGTGCATCCAAAGAATAGTGTGCTCAAATTCAAGTATGTTCCATTCAAGTTTTACTTTTTAGTAGTACTCTTTTTCTTTTATGATTCACTTTCCATGCCACGGTAATTTTATACTACAAAAGTGTATCGTGTAAGACAAATGTCAAATACATAACATTATTTATTTCTTACTGTAAATGCAAGTTTTGGTGGAAATCCAAATCTTTGCTCTTCAGGTTCATGCAACAAGAGGAATGGAAATAAGGTTGTGGTTCCATTAGTAGTATCACTTGTAGGAGCTTTCATGATACTAGCAGCAGCAATGATTTCTTTTCGCATATACTACAAGAGACACCAAGGTACATGTTTTTTTTCTATTGACTACGCTAACCGTGTATCAAAATTAGACTCAAATATAAATAATGCAACGATAAATGGTACTTTTTCTTCCATTTCGATAATGAATGGGTTTGCTTCGTCCCAGCTTCCCATCAGGTGAGCAAGGTGGGTGCTTATTCAAGAATAAGGCAGGAGCTAGAGTTAAAGAAACAAGAATTCACGTATGAAGAAGTATTAAGCATTACCAGAAACTTTGAAAAGGTTGTGGGGAAAGGAGCATCAGGAACAGTCTACCAGGGCTGGATTGATGATGATACTGAGGTAGCTGTCAAAATGCTAACTTCCTCGTCAGCCCAAGGATACCTGCAATTTCAAGCAGAGGTATTATGATTAACTAACTTGCATATTTCATCATGCTGTGCGTGTGCGTGTGTGAAAACATAGTTAACAAGTTCTATCCTTTGTGATTGACAGGCCAAACTTTTTGCTATAGTTCATCATAAATACTTGACTGGTCTTATAGGGTATTGTGATGATGGCACCAACATGGCTCTAATCTATGAGTATATGGCTAATGGAGACTTATCCAACTACTTGTCAGGTATTGTTTATATGATCATTTCGGTCCAAAAACTGAGTCAAAGATTTTCTCTACTTGTTTGAATCGGAAAACAACATTTCTTTTTCACTCTAAACCAAATACAACATTGATATGTCATTTTCTTTCTTGGTTAAGCTTGTTTCACCATGAATGCAGATAAAAACGAAAATATATTGAGTTGGAATCAGCGACTTCAAATTGCCGTGGATGCTGCAGAAGGTGAATATGATTCCCTTTGGTCATTAGTTTCATGATTTTCAATTTATCCATCAAAATATAGCTTATAAAGAGTTTGTACATTTTATGAAACAAAACTTGATTTGAACATTCAACTGTAGGATTGGAGTATCTGCATCATGGCTGCAATCCACCAATTGTTCATAGAGATGTTAAATCTAAAAACATCTTACTAAATGAAAAACTGCAGGGTAAATTAGCTGATTTTGGGTTGTCAAAGATCTTCCCTAATGAAGGTGACACTCATGTCTTCACAGTTGTTGCTGGCACGCCAGGATACCTTGATCCCGAGTAAGTTCTTATTATCTCTATCTTTAAATATAAGCTTCATTTTTTAAGTTGAAAGTTTGTATTTTGCAGGTACAATAGACTAAGCCAGCTGAGAGAAAAAAGTGATGTTTTCAGTTTCGGGGTAGTTTTGCTTGAGATAATTACAGGACAACCTGCCATAACCAAAACTGAAGAAAAAATCCATATTATTCAATGGGTTGGTTCCATGCTGGTGGAAAGAGAGGTAAAGGATATTGTAGATCCCAGGTTACAAGGAGAATTCGATATTTCGTCTGCAACGAAAGCTTTGGATACTGCAATGGCTTGTGTAGCACCAGCTTCCATCAATAGGCCAACCATGAAGCATGTAGTTATGGAACTAAAACAATGTTTGGAAGACAAGACTATTCATCCGTCTGACACTAGTTACACTCATGAGAGCATACCTAGTGCCTTAAATTCTGTCTCCTTTGATAGAATTAGTGGCGAGAGCTCTCTAGCGAGGTAATGATTATTGAGATGAATGCCAATATCATATGAAGATAAGTGTTGCACATCAGTGTAACTAAAGTGTGAGACAGGTATTGGTGCCTAACGGTTTTGAATGAGCTTCCTAGTGTGTGAAATGGTATTAGTACATTGAAGATTCCAAAATATTTATTTATCAGTACACTTTTGGGATGTCATGAGTAACTATTATGCCACATCATCCTTTTTTAAGGTTGATCTTCTTAGATTAGTATTGTTATAGTTTGGAATGTAACTAACTATTGTAAAATTGAAAGGCTCAATCACACGCGAAAATCTAGAAATAATATTAATTTTGTATCACGCCAAGAGTAATGATGTGTGAGACAAAGAATAATGGAAACCAAAATAATGACCTTAAACAAAAGATATATCTTCCAAACCGTGTAAGCAAAGCAAGAGGAAGATAAAATACGAGTACACAGAGAATTTATTTATCTAATTCGATCAAACTGAACTACTATGTGGAAGAGAGCGTATTTCTTATTCATTATACATGCAAAAAACATTACTAGAGATTACAAATGAATTACAAAAAATTAGTCTTCCAAGATCCCAAAAACAAACCCTATTTTTTACACTAAGTGTTTCCACAAATCTCCACATTTACTCAAAATCGATATAATACCAATTTACTTATCAACCATCTTATTGCTCTAACCAAAGTTGAACCAGTATTTAAAAACATTGATCAAGTTCAAGCCACTCTTGAACCTTGATTTCTCCAATTGCCCCAACAAAATGACTTAACTAGAGGGTGAGGAAAGCAATATGCTTGTAGTCAAAGACTTCCTCAGTTTGGTCATGATAGTATTTTATATAGGCATTGAAGCTAGAATGGATAGAGGTAAAGCTACATTTGGTTTTGTTTTTTTATTAAGGGTCAAAGTTTTTCTCTATTGGTCGAAGACTAGTAATAACAGCGACATCGAAAAGAGTTGGAGTTACCATCCCACAATGAAGCTGGAATGTATTAGTTGAACCCTTCCAAAAATAAAGGGTAGATATAAGCATGTTGGTATTGTACCTTGGTCTATTTCTTGATAGTTGAATTATGTCAAAGATGCCTTGGTCTTGACAGATTTTTCCTTTATTCTTTTCATCTCTATTCATCCAATTGAGATAAACTTCAGTATTGGTAGAAGGAGAATAATAGAATACACTGTGGGGTTGGTCTATTAACCCTAATTCAAAACTTGTGTCCTCAAATGCATGAAGTTTACAATAGGACAAACAAGGAAATAATTTTTTCAATTTAGTAGGTTTTACAGACAAATTGGGTAAGGGATCCATGAACGCAAGAACACTACCTATAATAGAGAAGGATAATACCTGGGAAGCCCAGACGATGGATTTTTACTTCTTCATTGGTTTTTCTAGAACATAAGTGTGATTATCGGAATAAATGAGACCCTGAATATAAGTTGTAAAAGGGATTTGGGGTTGTTTTGTTATACTAGAAGAATAAGCCATTTTTTCTAGAACTTGAGTATAAAAAAAAGTGAGAATGGAGGTTGTAGAAGATAAAATGGTTCATCAGTGCATTTTAATGCACATTCTTCTACTATTGTACGTAAGACATTTCTCTAATTTGTTTTATTAATTTTACTATTTTATTATGTTTTTTGAATTGAGTTTATTTTTGCTAATTTAAATTCATATTTTATGTTCAGCATTAACAGTTATTTGATACATTTTTACTGTGCAGACCATAACTTGAGCTACACAAATTTGATTAGCACTTTCTAATAGGGGTTGAAAGTTAAGAGAAAGAGCTACAAGTTTTGTGTTGAAGCCAAAAGCTAGTTCGAGTGAAGCAGTATCAAATGATTCGTTGAAGTTTCAGACCTTAAGAAATATTTAGTTTTGGGTCGGGTTTTTTATGTTTTTCGACCCGGTTGGGTTAGAACCCGAATGCTTTACTTCTCCCTATACCTAGCAGCCACGGTACTGTTCACGAGATCTCTTTTGCACTGTTCACGAATATTTCCTTTTTGCTTTGTACGATTTTCATATGGAGAACTAATTCCAAAAGGTATTTTATATAGGCATTGAAGCTAGAATGGATAGAGGTAAAGCTACATTTGGTTTTGTTTTTTTATCAAGGGTCAAAGTTTTCTCTATTGGTCGAAGACTAGTAATAACAGCGACATCGAAAAGAGTTGGAGTTACCATCCCATAATGAAGCTGGAAAGTATTAGTTGAACCCTTCCAAAAATAAAGGGTAGATATAAGCATGTTGTACCTTGGTCTATTTCTTGATAGTTGAATTATGTCAAAGATGCCTTGGTCTTGACAGATTTTTCATTTATTCTTTTCATCTTTATTCATCCAATTGAGATAAACTTCAGCATTGGTAAAAGGAGAATAATAGAATACACTGTGGGGTTGGTCTATTAACCCTAATTCAAAACTTGTGTCCTCAAATGCATGAAGTTTACAATAGGACAAACAAGAAAATAATTTTTTCAATTTAGTAGGTTTTACAGACAAATTGGGTAAAGGATCCATGAATGCAAGAACACTACCTATAATAGAGAAGGATAATACCTGGGAAGCCCAGACGATGGATTTTTACTTTTTCATTGGTTTTTCTAGAACATAAGTGTGATTATCGGAATAAATGAGACTCTGAATATAAGTTGTAAAAGGGATTTGGGGTTGTTTCGTTATACTAGAAGAATAAGCCATTTTTTTCTAGAACTTGAGTATAAGAAAAAGTGAGAATGGAGGTTGCAGAAGATAAAAATTCTTAAAGTTCAGAAAGATTAGACAATTCTCAAGTTTGTTTTATTAATTTTACTATTTTATTGTGTTTTTTAAATTAAGTTTATTTTTATTAATTTAAATTCATATTTTATTTTCAGCATTACTAGTTATTTGATACATTTTTACTATGCAGACCATAACTTGAGCTACGCGAATTGGATTGACACTTTCTGATAGGCGTTGAAAAGTTAAGAGAAAGAGTTACAAGTTTTGTGTTGAAGACAAAAGCTAGTTCGGGTGAAACAATATCAAATAATTCGTTGAAGTTTCAGACCTTAAGAAATATTTAGTTTTGGGTCGGACTTTTTTATGTTTTTCGACCCGGTTGGGTTAGAACCCGAATGATTTACTTCTCCATATACCTAGCAGCCACGTTACTATTCACGGTATCTCTTTACTTCTCCCTTTACCAAGAGCTCTTGTGTTACGACATCCGAGTGTCGCTTCCCGTTATAAAACGGAAGGAAGAAGAGGAGAGGAAGTTATAAAACTGTTGGAATGAGACTCTTCGATTTTTCCTCTGAAACTAAAACAATGACCTTTTTATTTTTGATTTAAAACATTAATAATTAATGAATTTTCTTTTATTTAATATATTTAATTTTTGTGGCCCACAATGGCCTTAGAAATCAGAGTTGCGATGGGTACATACACATTACTGACATGACGACTAGGTAATAAAAGTCATGATGACGGTGACATATGCAGAATAGTTTGAATAGTGTTTACTAAAAAATGTTCTCTTTCTGCCATATTGCAAATATGATCAGAAACAACATTTTTGGGGGGCATCTGTTAGCATGAGATTTTTTATTTAGTCTTTTCTACATGAATGTGAGATACAAGGTGTATATAATTACTAAGTGCAAGTAGCTAAGTCATGTTGTCAACACCAAGTTGCAAATTCGACGAGTGGAGTTTTCGACATATATGATCAAGTAACTTTAAGATATTTTCAATGGCAATAAGACTTTAGAGCGGTTCGAGAACTAAAGACACATGTAAACACATCACAATACACAAGCCCACGTAGAAGATACATGTCATTCTGGAGATATAACCGTTGTTGACACTTATTGATGTACATAGTGTCAACAGAATTATTGGCAATAATGAGTTAATTATTAGAAATAATTCTGTAGAGATTGTATATTTATTTGTAATATTTATTCTCTTAATTAACATAATTAGCTGTAAATGTAAATAGGGCAGTTTAGCTAATTTAGTGGGTTGAATATTCAACCTGACAGCTTGTAACTACAATATTTATATGAGAGATCAGAATGAAAAGACACACGGTTCTTTGACCAAAACTTTCTTAGTTAACATGGTATCAGCCTAGGTTAATATCTAAGAACCTAGTCTTTTTTTTTCACGATCTTGTTTCGTCTTTGTTCTCGTTTTTCTCTCTCTCTTGTTTCTCGCTTAATTCGTCGTTCTTGTCCAATTCCTATTTCCATAGATCCATGTCTACTGAAAAGCATGAAGTCTTGTTGGTTCGCCTTAATGGCAAAAACTACGCAGCTTGGGCATTCCATTTCGAGATTTTCGTCACAGGAAAAGATTTGTGGGGTCATGTTGATGGCAACACTCCAGTCCCTGACAAAGATAAAGAAAAAGTTGCACATGCCAAATGGGTGGTCAAAGATGCTCAAGTCATGTCCTGGGTTCTAGGTTCTGTTGATCCCAACATTGTCCTAAATCTTCGACCTCACAAAACAGCAGCCACAATGTGGAAATATTTGAAGAAAGTCTACAATCAGAACAACGCCGCTCGAAGATTCCAGCTTGAACATGACATAACTCTCTTTAAACAGGATAGTCTCCCCATCTCTGATTTTTACTCTCAATTCATGAATCTATGGGCTGAATACACCGATATAGTTTATGCAGACTTGACTCCTGAAGGTCTAAGTTCTGTACAATCTGTTCATGAAACTACTAAACGAGATCAATTTCTTATGAAATTGAGATCTGAATTTGAAGGCATTTGGTCCAATCTCATGCATCGAAACCCTATCCCATCATTGGATGCGTGTTTCAATGATCTGTTACATGAAGAACAATGTCTCCTTACACAATCCATCATTGAAGATAAAAAATTATCTACTGTTCCAGTGGCATATGTAGCACGAGGAAAATCAAGAAGTCATGACATGAGTTCTGTTCAATGTTTTTGTTGCAAACAATTAGGACATTATGCTTCAAACT